ATCCACCAAACAGATCCCAACACTGCTACATTGGGGATCAGATTTCCAAATGACTTTTGGCGGGGGCAAAACGTCCAAACTCTATCGCACATGATCTCAGATTTTTAAAAATGAAATTAATAGAGAACAATAAGCATTTTGTAATTACAAATCTTTTACCAATGAGTAGTAATTCCTAGTGTACTCTGTGTTCTGAATTTCAAAGCTAAATTATTTACATTGTCTGATTGGATTCCCTGAAGACGATAGCCCTGTAACTCTACAGAGAATAATTTTATGTTCAGGATGTGTCACAACTCTCTATTAAGCAAGGAGTCAAGGAAATCAATTAGAACCAAATATACCATTGATAGTTTTTATACCTCCAAATTACACCACCAAATAGATGAATTCTGGAACAATGAACTCTTTCCAATTAGAATTATATTAAACCCACTTTATAGTCAATTATAATTCCATAAAATTTAAATTCCATTAATTCTATATTTCACAAAATTGTAATAATAATTTAAGTTGATTAGACCAAAACTGAAAAATTCAATCATTTAAAATAGAACAGGTTACAAATAGAGCTGACATTTTTCTGGGGCTCTCACTTCTGGTGGCACAGTTCACTCATCACATGGCCTTGTGCACACAGTACCTGTAACAAAAATCTTTGCACAGAAAATCTCATGTAAGGATATACTGAATAAGCACAACTCATTTAGCTCATCACCATTATTAACTAATAGTGGTGAGCATTGTTACTTTCATACAAACCAGTGGACAGCTAAACCTTTATAAATTTGCTTGAACTTAATATACAAAAAGAAATGAAATAATTAATAACTCCAGAGAAAGAGTGGCTCAGTAGTTCAAATATACTTATTCCTTTCTGTCTTTACTCTGAACATTGCTTACTTTCTCCAAAGTTTATAATCTGTAGACACTGAATTTTGTATTCAGTGCTTACTAACCTTATTCAGACATATTAACATATGTCTTGAATAATTTTTAGAATAAAATTTAACTACCAACTTATTAATATACAAGTAAGGCACCACATCCAATTTTTTGAAACCAAAATTCCATCCAATATGTCTGAACAGAGCCAAAATATGCCCCCCCACACATATGCACCATGCAGATATAAACAGCGCTCTACCCTATAACGTGGTTAGAAATTCTATTCAGTGTTAATAATGAAAACTCAATCTAATGGGCAAAAGTATTCTATTTTCCCAGTGAGGGTATTGAGTTCCAAAAATGAATATACCTGTGAATAGCAATTTGATGTGGTACCTTAGCATGATGATGGTTTTAGTTAATTTGTTCAGATCCACTCTGGCTTCCCATCTCCAGAAGAAACTGGTCTTCTGCATTCAATATCTATGTAGAAATATTGCTCTCCTCTGAAAACCATACACCATCTCTGTACTGTGCCTATCTACCTGAAAAATTTGTGCAAATGCATACGTTTTACAGTTTTAAAAATAATATTTCAATAGTTACTGTTTATCTGAGTATTATTATATGTCAGACACAGTGATAAGTTCTTTAATACATTATCTTAACTTTCTAAACATTTGAATTTGTTAACTTTTAACTTATCTTTGATATCTTTAAGTATTGCTCATTATAAGCACTTATTTTCAGTTCCAGGTTTTTATTTTGCATTTGCCTATTTTCTTAGAAATGTTGAAAGCTGAAAAATGTTCAGTTTTGTTTCACTGAGTCTTACCCTTTGAACTGACTCCTGTCACTCAGTTTGGGGACATGCACTTCTTAATCCTGAATTTCCTGGTAACATCATGGTAAGCATTACTGGCTTACAGAAGTTCTCATTTTCTCTGAGTTATGTGTTAGGATATATATGTTAGGACATATATGCAGAGTAAATGTAGAAACTCTAGCTTTTGAATCACTGCAGTTCTATTCATTGCCACCGACTCCAACTCAGTGCAGTGAAACTCCAGGTTAGCTTTTACATGTTGACTGCTCTTCTTTGCTGTACTCCTTTATCTCAGAATCACTAAGTATTTCCTTAAATATGCTTCATCAGTTCCCTTTAAAGTTGAGCCTTTCTGTTTTTAAGTGCTACCTAAATTTTTGTTTCTCTTTTTTTAAGTAGCCAGTGACCCCTGTTCTCTACCTTGATTTTTTTCTTATAAATTCTTTAAAATGAAAGTTCTCCTCCCGCCAAGGAACTGAATGCTTTCAGATGTGTCAATATCCTTTTTCTTGCTCCGTGAACCTACCATTATCTTCAGTCTTTTCTTAGCCAGCTTAGCCAGATATATATTCAACTTTGTTGTATGTCTCCATACCCGAGGTCATCCACTGACAATAGACACTTTCAGTCTTTATCCTCCATAATCTCTTGACAGCATTTGACACTATTGTTCACTCCTTCCTTTTTGAGACACTCTGTTCCCTTGACTTCCATGATGCCAATCTTTTCTGGTACTCCTCCAAGTTCTCTGTTTGTTGTCCAGGGTTCTGTCTTGGTTTTCTACTCATCCCATTCTGTACTCCCTTCAGGACCCAGCCATTTCATTTCCATAACTTCATAAGAGAGAATAAAGATGCTTACAACACCACAGCTGCTCATTCTTAGCCATATTCTCTCTCCTGATCACTAAACCTATATGCACAGCTGTGTGTTGTCCATGCCTTCAAACTCAGTGGGACCCAAGACTGAACTGTACAGTACTTGGCACATAATATGTGTTCAGTGTATTATATGTTAAATGAGTGAGTGGATAAATAAATACATAAGCAGGTAAATACACTAAACTCTAGAAAATGAACTAGCCCCAGAACAGGCTCATGCTAAAGTGTCGATGGTGATACTGTTACCCTGTTCTGCCAAACTATGACACATATAACTCTTGTCTGCCTTGACCACTGAAATTTGTCCTATCTTTCTAATATCTCTTTTGACCACCTGGCTTTTAGATACACTGTTTACTTACACTGACTAATTCTTGAACTCCTTTACTTCTGCCTCAATGTTCTTATTTCTAAAACTTTGCTTTGTTTCTTCTTCCCCAGACACCATAAAAGTTTTGACCCTAGACCTGGCCTGATTTTTGCTAGGATATGCCTGGTATATAATATGTATGGGATGTGTGTTTGTGTGTGTGCGTGTGTACAGGCATGTGTGCACACTTAAACTGTAGTTCAAGGAAGGCTTTTAAAGATAAGTAATGATGACCTTGAGTCTGGTGATATTAAAGTTAGACAATTGAAATAAGCTAACCCTTCAGAAAACTATGTTTATATTTATATGAATAACTATTTTATGTACTTTGATTCTATTGTCATTTTGTCATTTTAAAATTTATTTTCTTTTATGAAAACTTCTGCAGCTTGCCTGAATTGTATTCAAGGTTCTGGTAGACACAGACTTAATTATGACTGTGATAGTAAAGGAATGAACTCTTTCAGTTTAAGCTCCATGAAAATGCACATAGTGCTGGTTTTAGAAGTGTTGGACATACTTTATTTCCTCAATAACAATATAACTACTTTGTGTCGAGATTTCTGAGTTGAAATTTTCAGGTTTACTGAGGAGAAAACCTTGTTTATTGAATTTATCAAGTATGTAATATAAATATAGTGATATCTATATTTTTTTCTATGCTGAAGTCTCCACAAAGAGGGGATGTACTGACTAAAGTCAGGTAGCTTATGTAAACTCACATAAACATTTTATGAGCACTACATAAGGGACAGACCATGTTTAATATTTTATGTGTTTTCATTTACTTTTTTTTGTGTGTGTGAGTAATGAATAATTGTTAAGTTAGGATGAATCTGTTGCTTCTCCCATCTTTCTAAGTATGTATCAGGGAGCTTTGGAAGGGAGGATGAGTATATATTGGTTATAGGATAGTAATCAAGCATATGGAAGAACTTTAAGAGGATCATTGAAGAGGGTTTCCTTACTTTTATAATTTTCTTAGTATTTATGTAGTTTTTTTCATTGACTTAAAAATATTCTTTACATATTCTTTATGGTCATTACCAAACTCATGTAATGAGTTTAGGAGAGAAGCAGGAAAGGTAATATTTATTACAGTAGCCATGGAGAAACCATATCTTATTATACGTATATAAGTATATATTCTTGAATATTTCTTGAAACAGGAGAAGAGTAAATGTAATATCAGACTTTTATATAAAAGGAGCCACTTCAAATACAAATGGAAACTAAAGAGACAGATCTCTTCCTGTGCCCTAAAGTTAGTTGGCTGAAAGAATTTCTCAGACCAATCACCAAGAACACCACAGTGGAATATCAAATTATAGACCTTTTTTGGGGGGAAGCAGTTATTCTATGCACTACTGCAACTTTTATTAATTCAGAAATAATGAAAACAGATTTTCCTCATTACCCTATCAATTAGTCAAATGTAGTCATAAATTCATTTCAGTTTTTAAACATTATTTGGGTCTCTTACTCTAGAATGAAATAATTTCTCCTCCATGTATTTTATTCATATTACATATATATTTATGTATTTAATGTGAAATTAGGAAAAAGCAAAGAACTTTTGTAAAACCTAGTAGTGATCATTTAAGAAATAGTAGGAGATAAAAACCTGTAATAAGACAGTTTCATTTAATAAGAACCCTGACAGCAGTGTTCTGTGTTTGGGTTTGTTTTGTTTTACCTAGCATATGTGTTTATACGTGTTCACTAACCTCTGGAAGTATTTAGAGAAATGTTTGTGCTGCCTAATTCCCCATGTAAATGGTAATTTCATGGCAGTTCTTGAAATAAACGTTTTAAAACTTGAAACTGTTTTGCAACTATTTCCATTACAGAAACAAATATTTAAAACTCAAAGTGTTATTTGACCAGTAATTTGAAACCTAATAACAGTTCTCTGAAAAATGTGAATTCATATCTGATTGTAGTGCTGCCACGTTATACACGGGTATTTCAAAAAGTTCATGGAAAGATTCGTATTATCTTTCAATTCTATTTTTCCATGAAGTTTTTGAAGTACCCTCGTATTGGTTCTGCTCTCTTGCACACTTAATCTGCATAACATGTTGTGATAAATTGCTCCACCCTCCACCTGAGGATGCCTCTTGGTCACTGACAGTGTGAGTACTGTGTGATGTCCTATGGGGCTATACCCTCCATCTTCTTCTTCTTCATCATCATCATCATCATCGTCGTCACTGTGAATGAAACTGTTGAACTCTTTCCGTCTCAGGCACTGTGCTAAGAGCTTTACACACATTGTCTCATTAAACTCCCACAGTAACCTGCTGAGGAAGATATTATACCCCCATTTTATGGGTGAGGAACTGAGTCTTTTAGGAGGCCTCTGCTAATCAGTTATGGTCTTATTTAAATTCTTTTTAGAAAGAATTTATTACATTTTGGTGGTAAATAAAAAGTAAAAGAGTAAAGAGAGTAGTTTAGAAATTCAAATACAGAATAGCATATTATGTGCTTTTACCTAAGTATAACACAATTTAAAATCCTTCTAAGTAAATAATTCAACAAATATAAAACCCTTGAAATACTTTTCATTTACAGGTATGGAGGCAAAGGAAGCAACAAGAAAAAAAGGAAGCTGAATTAACAAATATTTGGTACAATGGTTTGTTGCTTCTTGATGTTAGTAAGAAACTGTGTCTGTATTTGAGTTTAGGGCCTGACTGTATTAAAGAGAGGGAGAGGACACGAGGGTGGTAAGGCATTTTGGAGAATTTCCTCCTACCTGCAGAGGAAGATGTCAAAAAATGAATTGGTTGGTTAATATTGGCTTAAATTGAAAAACATAAGATTGGACTTTTTTATTATTTGTTATTAAAAATGAATTTTGAAACTATTAAGCACTACTGATTTATTTCAAATTGAAAATAACATCGGAATAAAGGTAGAACTAGACAAGGAATTTAATAAATGATGAAAATATGTGTTAAGAATAGATTGTGCCTATAAATGGCACCGTTTTAAATGCAAGCATTAAAAACAGGTTACTAAATCTAGGAAAATAAGTATAGGGATTTACACCACAATTTTCAAGTACATATTTCTTTCTTATTCAAGATCCCTTCATCTCTTTCCCTTCTGAAAGCTATTTGTTATTTAAATTGGCACTATCCAGTGTCTTTTCTCTTAGTGGTGATAGCTGACGATCCTGAAGAAAGTCTAGATAGAATTTAAAGATAAAAGCTGTACTTTGCTGAGGCTAAAGAAGTTGCTTTAAAAATGCAAGCAGTTCTGAATGCAAATAAATAATGGCAAAATAAGGTCTTTTCTGTGTTTCTTGTAATAGGCCCATATTAGCTATCTTTCCAATTTTAAATACAGAGTAACATTTGATAAGAGGAGCTTTGCCAAGTGGAAAGAAGTCAGCAGATAAGGACATTAAATTGAAATAATGAGCTGCTAAAATAGATAATGGACCAGGCTGTTCCACAGTAATTCATTGGGGAAGAAAAGGAAACTTTGAAACTGGGTTTTCCTGGTTTTTCAAAGAGAGGTTCTCCTTTTACTTCAACAAAGTACAGGCTGTGAGGGGAGGGGATGGAGTGGTATGACTTGTGTAGCTGACACTGAGGAGGGTAGACTGCAATCTCCACACATCCTTAATGACTTGGTGGTCCACAGCTTCTAGCCAATTTGTCCCCTTTTTCCCTTGGAAGAATAATCCAAGAGATAGAAGTATTCATTAATGCCATGATTGACTTTGAAGTTAGACAGAATGGGAATCCCCATTTTAATGTTTAGATTAATTTTACATTTGAAATCAATGTCTCGTATTCAACTAGAACTTAGTAGATAATTTAGTAAGGTAATGCATGGGAAAATGCTTTATAGATTATAAATTTCTCTATAAGTGACAAGTAATATGATAATTACATGGCATGAACACTCCTGGTCTTCAGCATTAGGATTTTTGTCATTGTTACAGGCAAAAGAAAAATACACTGGGGAGAGCCATGGTTTGAGAGTTCTGAGACACCACTAATTAATTTAAGATTCAGTTTTTCACTGTTCTTCCTTGATATACCTTAAAATAATATTCAAAGAATAATTATTTTGCTCTTACTAAAATGCAGATTCTAAAATCATCACATTCCGAGGGTTGCAATCCCATTGCCGGTCCCTGGTCCCGTACGGGGGCAACACTGAGGGTTGCGATCCGTTGCCGGACACGGAAAAAGACAAAAAATAAAAATAAAAATAAATAAATAAAATCATCACATTACAGAAACAATGATCAGAATATGGATGAAATAACTGATAATATCCAAAACAATATTGTCCTCAACTGGGAGATTTTCTTCAGCTCTTTGTTTGACTTTTTGCTGCACTAACAAATGATGAACATAATTCTTGTTATATGCTAGACTCTGTGCTAAGAGTGTTTTATGCATTCTTCGTTTTGTATTCAAACCTATGAGGTAGGTGTTATGTAGCCACTTTATAAATGAGGATGCTGAGGTACAGAGAAGTTAAGTAAATTGCCTAAGGTCACACAGCTAGCACAATTTATAGCCAGGATTCCAGCCCACGTCTCCCAGATTCTAGATTTCAGCTACCTGTCTGATATACCATTTTCTTTAGGCCAAATGTGCTCAACTCTCCTCTCCCCATTATTTTGACCATTCCTTCAAGTTTTTTTTTAAAAAATCTAGTTGTTACATAATTACACACTATGTGCTGTAAATAGAGAAGAAATATCTCAATGAAGGCATTTAAAGTTCCATATGAGTAGAGGAAATTGTGAAGATTTAATGGTGCATCTGTTGTAAATCAGGTAGCCTATTTATTCTGCCAGAGAAAGTTTGTATATTTTTAAAGTTGTAATTAGAGACACATAAAGAAATGGCAGTTTTGAAAGTCTAACAAAACAGATCATTAAAAAACTTAATTTATCTACCATATAATGTAAACATAAAAAATGTTTTGATTTGGCCATTGGTATTAAAATTCTGAAGGTGATTTGGGTAGGTATTTTGTATACAAACTTTCCTGTATTATATCAATGAACTTATCAGTTTTATATAAGTGTATAATTATAGGTTACATGTTTCCTAAACCCAAAATAAAGTTTAATAATGGTACTTTTCCATGCTTTAAACCACATTACTTTTCATAACTAATATGCTTGTACAATAACATTTAATTTCTTTTTTTTTTTTTCCGTTTTGTCTTTTTTCGTGTCCGGCAACGGATCGCAACTCTCAGTGTCGCGCCCGTACCGGACCGGCACCGGCAAAGGGATCGCAACCCTTGGTGCTGCGCCCGCACCTCGCTCAGCCAGTGAGTGGGAACTGGTCTGTATGTGGGATCCGAACCCTCGGCGGGAGCGCCGCCGCACTCCCAAGTGGCGCACTGTAGCAGTGCGCCACCAGGCCGGCCAACATTTAATTTCTAACATAACTTCTGAGGGGCAGGAATCTTGGAGTGTTTACCTGGTTGCTTCTGTCTCAGGATCTCTCACGAGGTTGGAGTCAAAAGCTGAAGCTGGAATGTCCACTTCTATGATGGCTCAACTCACATGGTTGCTGACAGGCCTCAGATCCTTGTGGCTGTTGCCTGGCAGTCTCCGTTCCTCTTCTCCTAGGTCTCTCCCTAGCTGCCTGAATGTCCTCAAAATAGTAGCTGAGAGAGAGAAAGAGAGCAAACCCACAGTGGATGCTGTAGTCTTTTAGAACCCACTCTTGGGAGTGTCATACCATATTCTACTGGTCACAGAGATCAACCCTGGTACAGCATAGGTGGGGAGTACACAAGGGTGTATGTACTAGAAGGTGGGATTATTGTGAACTATCTTGGATATGGATTACCATAAGTATTTTGTTAGGAAAAAAATGTACCAATAATGTCCCAAAGTTTTTATGAGGAAATATTGCTCATATTGTCTTTGGCAATATCTTTGCCATAGAGATTGTTGTTTTATTTTTAAAAAGGTCTGAACCAAATCCTCTTTTTACCTTGCACATCAGTAGTACTTGAGGAGTCTGTTGAATTAAATTTTTGGGTTTTGATGGAATTTGTTATATAACAGACTAAAATGCATTTTTTATGATGGAAGAACTGTATAGGTGCTAGATTCAAATGTCCACTGTGCCCTTTTGAATCTCAACTATCTTATCTGTAAAATAAGATTAACATGAACCTTGTGGACTTTGTGAAAATCCTGGCCAGGTCATGAAAATTAAATGGTAGATGGTGGAATTAGTAGGGAGTAGACAAATAAATGTTTACTTTCAGGAACATTTTTGAGGAAAAGATGCATTAAAAATTAATTATTAGTGCTCTGCCATAATTCAGAAAAGAATGTCAGGTAGGATTGCCTTTTATAACTAAGTGAAAAGAAACCCATGCTACAAATAACCAAGAACGATATAATGAGGCTGATTAAGAAGGTAGCTTATAGGTTGAATAGGGAAATAAAATTAAAGCTGTTTTTTATGGCATTTGCAATAGTAGGGACTAAATTTTTAAAACACATTGAGATACTTGAACATTTATAAAAATGACATTATGAACCTATGAAGGAAATTTTAAAGCACAGGATAAAAACCATGCTGTCTATCCTAAGTGAATCATTGTGCAGTATATGCAAGTATTGAAAAAACACGCTACCCCACAAATACATACAAGTAAATGTTAAAATAAAAGTTAAAAAAATAGGACAAAAAGAATCAAAAGTTGTTAATGATAAAACAACTGAAATTGATTTTGATTCTTTTCTATCAATTTATTTTAGGTTGGAGATAGGTAAAATTAATATCTGAAAGTTCTTAATTTTTGAGGAAAAGCAAAATATTTGTCCTCATGGTTGTGTCATTGCTGCCTTCAATTGCTTCCATTACCCTCAAGCTCTGTGACTTGATTAATTTTCCAACCCAGAGACCTAACATAATATGTCCATTTTGATTCTTGCACAAAGTTTCATGGTTTTCTCTTAACTCTGCAGAAGGAGTGATTTTCATTTTACTTTTTATTGGTAATTAAAACATACGTTCAGAAAAGTCCCCACATTATAAATGTACAGTTTAAAAGTAATTATAAAAAACAATTACTCTACTGTATTCATTTCTTAGGGCTGTTGTAACAAAGTACCACAAACCAGGTGGCTTAAACAACACAGCTTTATTGTCTCCTCATTCTAGAGGCTAGAAGTTCAAGATCAAGATTTCGGCAGGATAGGTGCCTTCTGCAGGCTGTGCGGGAGAAACTGCTCCACACCTCTTTCCTGCTTCTAGAGGTTTG